ATGTAATCTGAAAAATCATGCAAACATCCATTCAAAACTAAAATCCTTTTCAACCGATCCTTTCCCCAGGTATATCGCTCACAATGTAAGAGAAATAACCTATTATCTAGACATGATAAGGGAGGGGAATGATTAAAATAGAGAGAATGCCAGATAGCACCACTTTTCTTAAATTGTCAAGCTGTAGTGCTGTCAATTCCAACTGCATTCCTCTATCATGTTAAAGGCAACACAAACTAAAATAACAGGTAGCATGGAAATAGAATTTTACAGCATCTAGTTTCATTATTTCAGTAATGAAGAAATTTATGAAGGAGACTTGAGTCTGGGTTGGTGTTTTTTGTTGGTTTTTTGTTAGGGTTTTTTTTTTTTTTTTTTTTTGCATTCAGCCAATGTGCCAGTCTTCACAATTTTGGGGGGCTTTAATGGTTCAGAGTAGGAACATTAGATGTGTGACCTTCCAAAAATTTCTAATCCATAACTTCCAGCAATTTCATCTAGCTTGGTCAGCAATGACACTGCTATATAGAGTCCTTCACCAGCAGTTTTCTACCTGTGCTTCAGAATAGCAATAGTACTTAGACTTAGACTTATATAACCCTCTCTGAGCAGTTTACAATGTCAGCATATTGTTCCCAACAAGTGGGTCTTTCGGGTGTCTAAAACATCCCATAGTTTTAATCTTGTGGGGAGACACAACTCTTTAAATTCTTTCCTGAATCTCATGGTATTTGCCTTTCTGAGGTAATCTTCTAATTCTACAAAGACAGTTTTTCTCACCTGACGCTCTCTAGATGAGGCTGGATGGCAAATCTTAGAATTGCCTATAACCATCCACCTCAACTTCACCTCAACTTCTAGTATAATGTTATATCATAATTGTAGACCTTTGTATGACATAAATTATTACTCTCTTTTTTTCTAAACGTAAGCAAACTCACATGTCACAATCTGTCCAAGGTTAATTGGGAGACTATGAGCGGGGAAACTGTTTTTACCAAATCTGTTGTTTTCTCATCAGATCCATATGGTTTCACACTGTTGGTGTCCATTTCATTTCAGTGTAGCTATTCAGAAAGCCAAACTATAGGTAATATGTTAACACACAAGCTTTTGTTTTTGATAAACAGCCTTATTGTGTAATCAGATGCCGGTCGAAAAAGGCAAAGTGGGAAAAATGCCATTTTATTAGGGGAACAAAATATAAAGATGCTGAATAAAAACAGAAAGTGATCGTGATGGGAAACTGCACGAAGCAATAACAACTGAGAGCATGCAAGCTCTAAGTCTAAATTCATCCAAGAAAGAAATGGTAGAGATAAGTAAAATGGTTTATTGAAAAGCTGAAGGCACCACAATCACAAGAGCTGCTGTGTAAAACGGCATTTCTAAATGGCTGTTTAGAAATAGCAACTAGCCACACCTAATGCAAAGAGGGAAAGAGAGAATAAGAAAGTAGGATGCCTGAGTCATCCTTTTTATACCTCAGCAGGACTGCTAAAAATATTAATAGAAATAATGGCAACTGTTAAAGTCACACTTGTGTTACTCAAAAATTTGGATTTTTGATTAGCAAAGAACAGATCTGCTTTCTAAGGCAGAGCTGGGAGTATCTGTCTATTTCTGGCAACCTAGAACTACTGTAGCTTCTGGGGGTCTATGTGTATATCACAACTGTGTGTGCATCACAATTTCTGATGGCTTTTATATAGTCCAATATTCCTATGTTGGAATCAGCTATGCAATCCCCAACCATTTGGAATAAAAACCTTCCAAATTTCCAGAGACTAAAGGATATGGCTATGTTTTTGTTATTTTCTGTTGTTGCTGTCGTTTAATTTTTGAATTGCCCAGAATTGCAGAGAGTTGTGCAGTGGAATATATTCACATACTCTGTTTAATTTAAGTACTGCTATTACAATAAGCATTTTTGTAAAATTTATTCTTGGTTTGGCTCTTGAATTTTCCTTGGTAAAGCAATGATATACACATCGACAATTAAATCGTTATATTCTTCTGGACCTCTTTCAGATTTCCAGGTTTGTCCCTTATTTTTATCCAAGAAAGTGTATTTACTGTATTCACCCTTCCCAAACTGGAAACACAACTGGATGAGATAGCTCTACTTTATTGTAAGGCTTGTCAGGCATGCAAAATCAGGGCCACACATTGACTTCCAATTAAACTGATTTATTTCTCATTCCTATGCACAGGAATCTAGTCAACTGACAGTCGGTACTATTTTGGCCCCAGATAAGGGTTAATGGAATTCAAGAGGAGTTGGACTTAGATCACTGTGGGACCGTAAAGATTCCAGGCTGATTCCCCTCTTGATGCTGTTCCCAGGTTCTGCCACTCCTTTCTCAGGGTTCCAAGTAATACGCCTATAACGAATAGAACTCTGAGGCAGGTAGATTCCTCAAATAATAGTTTCATTTGGACATATCATATTGGCACAGGCTGGTGAAAACTGACTCTGAGTGTTCCCATGGTTTTCACCTAATTAAAAGTTTTCTCCCTTCCCCAAACAATCAGTCACATGGTCCAATCAAGGTGTTGCCCGGTTGCGTGGTAACTTCACTCCTCCTCTCTCCAACCACCAGTGGAAATGTCCTTGGTTCCCAGAAGAAAGTATTTTGTTTTGGCTACAAAACCTCAGTTATCTCTATCCTCCCCTCCCTATCCCTCAGCTCCAGTATGGCAACACTGTTAAACTATTTACTAAGTCTGCACTACTAATCTTCTCATCGTTCCTATCATCCATCTCCTTCCACTTATCTGTATGACTGTAACCTTGTTGCTGGTATCCTTACGATTTATATTGATATTGTTTCCTGACTGCTTATTTGTAACCTATGACTATCATTAAGTGTTGTACCTTATGATTCTTGACGAATGTATCTTTTTTTTTTTTATGTACTCCGAGAGCATATGCACCAAGACAAATTCCTTGTGTGTCCAATCACACTTGGCCAATAAAAATTCTATTCTATTTAATTCTATTCTGAAGCCTCCAAATGGCCTCGGTCAGGTCAGCTTCAAGGTTGAAACTTCTCCTCTACAAAGCTACATAAAACAGAATCCTGCAAATCTGAAGCCACAAACTTCCCATCTCCACTTTTAGCTGCTTGATCCATGAGGGCAGATCCTTCCTAAATATCTTTCTCTGACTATTAAGAGACTGTGGGGGCTCCTACCTCTCTTATCTGATGGTTTCCTAGGCAGCATCTACTCTCCTCTGTCTTCAAGGTTATCCATGCGTTCTATTACACTGTCGGCAATCATACAGCCTATGCAAAACGTTAGGCTAGAGCATCATTCTGGCTTTCTAATTTTATGGCAAACAGCCTTTGCAGAATTGTGATGCTTCAGACCAGGAGACGTTTGCATCCATTTCCTTTCTGCTTAGCAATTCTGGGGAAATTGTTTGTGGAAATCGCTTCTTTCGCTTTGCTTCCTATTTATTCAGAAGACTGCCAGGGGAATATTTAGAGAAGGAGCAGCCAGTCTCTTGGGAATTAGCAGTAATGGATTGGTAGCTTTGTCACATGTCAGTGTATTGGAAATAATGCAAAATTAATATTGAAAATATTGAAGTCATCAGCTTTCAAGCGCTGTGTTAAGTTGCAGAAGAAACGATATACAAGGTTTTTGTCTGTGTGCCTTTTAAAAAAGGCTCCCTAATCCTGTATTAATTCTGAATATTTTATTCTCCAGAATTGTGTATAGTCCCCCAGAGTAGTTCACCACCCTTTTTTAACAAGCCCAAAAAGAAACAAAACATTAAATATATGTGGAATAATTGTATAAATTCCAATTATTTCACTTTGGTTTATTGCATTTAAAGCAAATATATTTATTTACATGTTGGATTTACGCCCTGCCCAATAACTACCTATTTTACCTCATGACACTAATGATGATAATTAGAAAAATAACTGGGCAGCAGTTAATTCTACATATTGTAAGGGATGTGGTGGCTCAGTGGCTAAGACGCTGAGCTTGTCCCCAGGCCTTGAGTTTGGCATCCCTGGGGTGTATATATACCCCAATATAAGGGGAATATATAAGGTGGAAGAAATTTATATCATAGTTATGCACCTGCCAAAGCTTCTTCAATGCAACTTATACCCCATTGGCTCCTATTCACTAAGGAAATGTAGTTATGGATGTACTAATATCCGCACAAAAGAAGATGGCACCTGGAAAGTTAAAAATAATGGGAGTAATTTTCATAAACATAGGCTCTCAACATGGTGAGAAAATGGCTCCTCTCCTTTTTACGTTTCTCCATTCTTAACAGTAGATTCCAAGTTTCTCCTCTGTGCGGCTTCTCTAGGGCTCTGTTTGCACATTATATTAAACCATGGATTATTTAATTAGGAATTATTTGTTATTATTGTGTCCTTGGACAGATCTGTCCAAAATTTGTGATTTGTCTATCAGAATAATTGATTTTGTGCTCCGTGTTGGGCCCACCCTAGGTAGAACCCATCTTCTGTGCAGGAGAAGCACTAGATTTGAATGATGCAAAATTCAGGAACGATGTGTCTCTTTTCATTTTTACTTTCCCGTACAGTCATCTTCTCACAAAGCCTTTGTCCTTTGAATTGCAAGCATTCCCGCTAACTGCTGAATAAAATTCATCATCCAGCATTGGCTGAGCTCCAAATGAAAATGAGGAAACTAATTACACATTTAGTTTAAGGTGAAATTAGCATACTTAGAATTTCAATTTCTTATAAACAGAGGCATGGGATAATTGACTTCTTCAAAGCTTTCTACTATCTTATTCTGGGTGGGTAATGAAGGTGGGCATAAATTAATAAGCTGAATCTCTCTTTCTCTCCCTCCCTCCCTTTCTCTCTCCTTTCTTTCTTTCTTTCTTTCTTTCTTTCTTTCTTTCTTTCTTTCTTTCTCTCCCTCCCTCCCTCCCTCCCTCCCTCCCTCCCTCCCTCTCTCTCCTTCTCTCTCTCTCTCTCACTCTCTCTCTTTAACAGCAGTACATTTATGTGGCCTGACTTGGCAGTTACAACCAGTTGATGGGCAGCTCTATGAAAATGGACTCAGTAAAGGAAACAGACTCACAGAATCTGTGGATACAACATACGCTCCCATTGGAGGCAAAGCGTCAGATAAAACAGAAAGGAAAGGTATCTCTTTTTCTATTTTTTTTTCATCAAGTGTATAAAATCACCATGGAAGATGCACTGACATCACAGGAAAGGCCAGAAGTCTCAATGGTTTTGGGTAGCAAGGACATGCAATTAACCCAACTGATATCTATGGAGATTCTCCATCATCCAGGTCATGGTTGTCCCATGCTTTTTCAAAAGGCAACTGGACTTTCTGGTTTTTCTTTTTTCTTTTTTTTTTTTTTTATTTAATTTGATTTATATGCCGCCCTTCTCCGGAGACTCAGGACGGCTTACAGTGCGTTAATTTGAGCCTTGGTAGTACAGGGGTTTAAGGCACCCTGTGATTAAGCTGGTTATTAAGACAAGCTGCCTACAATTACTGCAGGGTTCGAATCTCGCCAAGGCTCAAGATTGACTCAGCCTTCCATCCTTTCTAAGGCAGGTGAAATGAGGACCCAGATTGTGTGGGCAATAAGGTGATTTTGTATAAATATACAAAAGGATGAAGGCTATTGCTGAGCACATTGTAAGGCGCCCTGAGTCTCCGGAGAAGGGCGGCATATAAATCAAATAAAAAAAAATTCTGGTTTTTCTTTCTTTTTCCTTCATGGCATGGGCCCGGGGTACTTGCAGGATCACCTTCTGCCTGCTTCCAACCGTCCAGTGCGCTCACATAGGATTGCCTTCCTCCGGGTGCCATCGGCCAGACAATGTTGGCTGATGGCGCCCAGGATGAGGGTGTTCTCTGTGGGTGCATCGACCCTCTGGAATGGTTTACCCACTGGGCTCCGGATGGCCCCCGACCTCCGCTCTTTCCGCGCTGACTTGAAGACATGGCTTTTCCAGCAAATTTGCTGATCTGATAGGAGTTTTAACTAATCTTTTGGGGATTTTAATTGAGTATTTTAGTTGTAATTTTACTGTTTTATTGTTTTATCTTTGTGAGCCACCCCGAGTCCTTCGGGAGAAGGGCGGCATATAAGTATAAATAAACTAAACTTTGAAGACGTTTCGCTTCTCATCCGAGAAGCTTCTTGAATGAGAAGCGAAAACGTCTTCAAAGAAAAACCAGAAAGTCCAGTTGCCTCTTGAAAAAGCACCTTTGGGATGACCCAATTGTTGTGCATGTTGCCCGAGTTGATTTATTAGATTTTTATCCCGAGTTTATTACTTTGAAATGTATTTGATTATTATTTTGCATGTAACTCAAGGTGGTGAACATACCTAATGCTCCTTCTTCCTCCTATTTTACACACAGCAACAACCTTGTGAGGTGGGTTGGACTGAGTGAGTGAGACCATCTCCTGGTGATTGGCCCAAAGTCATCCAGTCAGCTTTCATACCTAGGGTGGGACTTGAACGTGATTGCTTCAAAGCCATCTTGTCAGCTTTTTTTGTCTAAGGCAGGACTAGAACTCACCGTCTCCTGGTGATTGGCCCAACATCCCTCATTCAGCTTTCTTGCCTCAGGCGGGACTAGAACTCAGCTTATCTCAGTTTCTGGGCTAGTGTCCTAACCACTAGGCCAAGCTGACTCTCCTATTGTATTTACTATATTGTAAGGGTAGAACAATGTTAGTCTATTTTAACCAAAAATCAGGAACCTGGGTGAGCCTAACACATTTTGCTAAAAGATGTAGGCTTTTCTGAGCTACAGCTTACTTCATCAGATGCATGATGTTTCAGATGATCGGTTTCAACAAGTCCTACTACATTCCTTCTAATACATGACTTAACCGTTTCTCATTTCGGCATGGCGGTAAGAATACCATTGGTGTCGTTCCAAGGATTTTTGCATAAATCTGGAGGTTGGAAACAGATCAGATCAAGATATGATCTCATGTTAAATGGCTTGCTAAGTATTAACTGACATGGTGATCATTTTTGTATATCTCATTTTTTCTATGGTGGTCATTTTTGTATATCTTGTTTTTTTCTACGTGTTTCACTTTTCTTCTTTATACTGTAACTGCTATTCTAATAGCAAATCCTTCATAAAAGTTATTGCATTACATTATTGATTAAATTATTTTTCCATTGATATATCATTTTATGGTACTACTCCCCCAAAAAAGGTGGTGTTATTAGCTAGTTTTAGAAAATACACTTTTCCCAAAAGGTTTCCACAATTTTGGCCATTACTGTAAGCACATTTGGATTGAATCTCCTAATTGAATTTTTTTCAATCAAATGAAAAAGTTGAATTGAATCAGTTAATTCAATTCTGATTCTAATTCACCAGGTTGGTTCTCAAGCTGTCTCCTCAGTACTACATCAAATACTTTAACCACTATCTCTTACAGGTTTTCTGGACCAGTGTTGGACTGAGAAATAAATGCTCAGGATCTTTTTATTTCCTCCCAGCTCTCATCCCATTGGAGGAAATAAATGTTGGTTCTGAAATTTCTTTTAAAGAAAAAATGTCTTAGAAGAAAGCCCTAAGTATCATGTGCCATTAAAGGAAGGGAATGTGGTTCGGAACAGGAAATATAGGTAGTCTTGGACTTACGACCACAATGGACCCCAAAATTTCTGTTGCTAAGTAATACATTTGTTAAGTGAATTTGGCCCCATTTCGTGACCTTTCTTGCCACAAAAGTTAAGTGAATCATTGCAGTTGTTAAGTTAGTAACACGGTTGTTAAGTGAATCTGGCTTCCCCATTCTGACTTTGCTTGTCAGAAGGTCTCAAAAGGTGATCACATGATGTTATTATTATGTACACTACAACTGTCATAAATGTGAGTCAGTTGCCAAGCATTTGAATTTTGAATACATGACTGTAGGGATGCTGCAATGGTCATAAGTGTGAAAAACAATCATAAGTCACTTTTTCCAATGCCATTGTAACTCCCAACGGTCACTAAATGAACTGTTGTAAGTCAAGGATTACCTATACCAAGGGTCGGCAACCTTAAACACTCAAAGAGCCGCAAAGGTCCTAACCGGAAGCCCCCATTCAATTCTGGAGCTGACCGGAAGTCCGGTTCCCCCACCATAGAGTCTCCTCCTAGCACAGCATCCTTTTTCCTCTGCTGACCAGAAGTCTGGTTCCCCCACCATAGAGTCTCCTCCTAGCGCAGCATCCTTTTTCCTCTGCTGACCAGAAGTCTGGTTCCCCCACCATAGAGTCTCCTCCTAGCGCAGCATCCTTTTTCCTCTACCTGCCCTAACCGAAATCCCTATCAACTGTGGAGCCGACCAGCAACAGGGAGCCAGAGCAGAGGGATGAAAGAGCCACGTGTGGCTCCAGAGCCGCAGGTTGCTGACCCCTGACCTATACATTTGCAGCTGGCTGAGACTAGCTCATCTAAAACATTTTTGCCTTTCATTATACCATAGCAAAACTTAGAGTCAGTAAGGGATATTTCTGCCTAGAAGGAACATTTCTATAATGGGATTGTGTCATGTTGAAATTATATCTCCCAGTATAATTTGGCATATGAATCCACACACGTTTATTCATTTCCCTGAAGACTGGGTCCTTCTATTTTTGAAAAGTGACAAAGCAGTTGCATCCCATTTAAAAGTTATCCACCTGGACCGACATTACATTCGCTTTAAACATATAGCTTGTATCTTTGACCTTAGAGTTCCTGCCCTCTACCCAGACAGTATAATCAGTATGATAACGAGACTGTGTCGGTATCAGGAAAATGTTTTTAAACATCCTCTTGGCCTATTGGGCATTGGCTTATAAACAGTTCCAGACAATATTTGAAATGTCTTGTCATCTTTCAGCTTTTCTTGTGGCTCGAATTAAATTCTCTGAAGAGAAACACCGAAGTAATTTCAGACAGTGCTCGGGGGGGTGGGGGAGAGAAACTGTTTACGAGCTGGTACTCTTGAAAATAAGCATCAGTCTAAAACAGATGGGCTTAGCCAATTCTCTTGGACCTTTAATTCAGCCACCTCAATGTATCTTATACAGCTTAGATGCGAGAACTAATCTTTGCTCTCCGGTCATAAATAGTTTATCCTAAAGGAAATCCCCCTTGACTGCAATTTGGAAGGACAGTTTTAGAAACTGAAGCTCAAATACTTTGGCCACCAAATGAGAAGAAAGGACTCACTGGGGAAGATGGAAGACAAAAGGAGAAGGGGACAGCAGAGGATGAGATGGTTAGATAGTATCATTGATGCAATGAACATGAATTTGAGGAAATTCCAGAAGATGGGAGGACAAGGGAGCCTGGCATGCTGAGTCGCGAAGAGTTGGACATGACTTACCAACTGGATAGGGATGTGGTGGCTCAGTGGGTAAGATGCTGAGCTTGTCGATCAAAAGGTCGGCAGTTCAGCAGTTTGAATCCCTAGTGCCGTGTAACAGGGTGAGCTCCCAGCTTCTGCCAACCTAGCAGTCTGAAAGCACGTAAAAAATGCAAGTAGAAAAATAGGGACCACCTTTGGTGGGAAGGGAACAGCGTTCCGTGAGCCTTTAGCATTGAGTCATGCCGGCCACATGACCACAGAGACGTCTTCGGACAGTGCTGGCTCTTCGGCTTTGAAACAGAGATGAGCACCAACCCCTAGAGTCGGGAACAACTAGCACATATGCGCAAGGGGAACCTTTACCTTTACCTTACCTTTTACCAACTGGATAAAAACAACATAAATAGTTCCTTTCATGGGGTCCTCGATGCTCTCTGAGCTTAGTTATTTTCTTACAGATGTTTCATTACCCAGCTAGGTAACACCATCAGTGCTAGAAGAGGTTTGCTGTCTGTTTATATACAAGTTCCTTCCCTACCACCATTTCCCACTTCTCTGCTACTTTAGCAGAAGCAGCATTCCATAGAAAATGCCCTAAAACTCCCAAATTCTGATTCTGAGATGAACAATAAGTGCCTATGTTTTGCAGGCAGCTAATTACTCCCAAAGAATTAAAAAATGTTTCCCAAAATATATCTTCTTTCCCTGTTCATTTACAGTATTAATCAGTGAACGTGTTCAGTCCTTTTCTCCCCTTTTTTCTTTGTTTCTTTCCTTGTTTTTATTTTATTTCAAAGGCTGATAACCCAGGACCAAGCTGGGTCAAGAATGTGATGTGGAGGAAAGGAAGTGTAAAGCTTAAGAGATGTGTTGGTATGAGAAACACGATAGAAATGTGTTACATATATCAATAACATTTGTTGAGCCCAGTGAATTAATTAACACCTATATAGTGCTAAAAGTCCTTTGTCCTTGTTTAATCTCTGTGGAGTAATGTCAGAAGTCAACACTAGATCAGCTGTGTTGTTGTGAAATAAGACTCTTGCCCAGGGAAGAGTTTTCTAAAGCCAGTAGTGAAATATTCCTTTGCTAGATAGAACAGATTCATATTCACTGTGACTGTCAGTCTGTTGATCTGTCTGTGTGGATGTGGATTTGTGGGTGCGTGGGTGTAAGTGGTGGGAGAAAGAGAGAATGAGAGAGAGAGAGAGAAAGAAAGAAACTGGTTCATTTGTGTAATACAGGATCTTATCTTTGGTTCTCTCTGAGCTTGGTTGTTTTCTTGCAGATGTTTCTTTACTCAGACTATCTAGCACCACCGGTCTAGCACTGATGATGTTACCTAGTTGGGTAATGAAACATCTGTAACCAAGCTCAGAGATCACCAAAGACACCTCATTTCAAATCTAAGCTACAAATATTTTCTTTTAAGGATCTTTTCTTCCCAATCACTGACAATATTCAAAGCAGAAAAATGATCAGATCCCGTCTGAGGGGAATGTAATTTAAAAAAACATTAGATTGTGCAGAAATGGATAGATTAACACTTGTTATTAAGGATATAGAGCCTTGGTGGTGCAGCAGACTAAAGTACTGTTAAGGAACACCAGCTGCCTGCAATTACTGCAAGTTCAAATCTCACCAGGCTCAAGGTTGACTCAGCCTTCCATCCTTCCGAGGTAGGTAAAATGAGGACCCGGATTGTGGGGGCAATAAACTGACTTTGTATAAAAAGAACACCGCTTGGAGGGGGCCGAAAGCCCTACTAAGCAGGTATATACAAAAGTATGAAGGCTATTGCTTAAAAGCATTGTAAGCCGCCCTGAATCTCCGGAAAAGGGTGGCATATAAATTGAACCAATAAATAAATAAAGAAGAAACTGAATATTTTTTGATACGGGACGTATTCTATCCATGGCTAGATATCCATGGCAACAGAAGTTAGAAAGGAGGAGATATAAATGGAGGAAATGGGATAGAGGAGAGTTGTTAAAGATGAGGAGGTTAAATGTTAAGTATTAATGCGATGATATTATTGTATTATTAATAATATGATGGTGATGACTTATCACAATAAAGATGTATAAGTGTGACTATTTAAACATAATTGTACCCAGAATATTGATAAAAATTAAATGTTATATGAATGAAAATTAAATGTTATATAAATAAAACAAATAAAACTTGACAATATTCAAAGCTATCCTTTAGACCCGAGGTCCACAATCGGGGAGCTGTGACTTATTTGGTATCGGGCCACACAAGAGGCAGGCTGGTGCATAGACTCACGCAGCTCCACTCATATGAGCAGCACCCCAAAGGCTTCTCTTCTCTCTTCATAAGTGGAACTGCATGTGTGTGCATGCGCATCGGCCTGCCACTCACACAACCCAGTTTCCCTCTTTCCCACCCCCAGCTGGGCTGCCAAGCCGCAAAGATTTGGGACCGCCATTTTAGGCTGCAAAGATTCCTCCAGCTTCCTGAGGTTTCGTATTATATGCCTCCAGTCAGTGCATTTTCCCTTTAAGAGGCAAATTTGTCTCGAATTGCAGGCTGCTCATTTTATGCCTTTTCAATGCCTTTGGAAAACATGTTCTCTTCGTAACTTTTGTCTTTTTGTCCTTTTGTTTTTTGGAGATATAGTATTTCAGAAAGGACAGGCAATAGACACGGGAGAAATTGAAATCGGAGATCAGGTGATGCAGACGATCCCACCGGGCCTCTTTTGGCGGTTCCAGATCACGATCCATCATCCATTGTACTTGAAATTCAATGTCTCCCTGGCAAAAGATTCCCTGCTTGGGATCTATGGCAGACGCAATATTCCTCCCACTCACACCCAGGTATTGTCATTTTGTCTACCTTTTAAAAAGTTAGCTATTTCACAGTGCATTGTGCTCTCCAAAATAATAGCGAGGTTCACTCTTAAATGGCTTATTCAAGAACAACCTTGCTTTTCAGTTTCTTCTGAACTAATGGAGTCTTCTTTTTTATTATTCTTTATTAACAATTGAGATTTTTTTTCCCCTTCATTTTATGTAAGCATGCAAGGAGGAAAAGTATTTTTCCAGAGCTATGAAACACAGTAAACGTTCGAACTATAATTTTATTAAACAGTAGACAGTCGCTTGATTTTGAATTTCAATTCAGATAGAGCTGTAAGGGACCTTAGAGGTCTTCTAGTCCAACCCCCTGCTCAAGCAGGAGACCCTATTCCATTTCAGATAGGCTCTTTTGAAAAGCCTCCAGTGATGAAGCACCCACAACTTCTGAAGGCAAGCCATTCCACTGGTTAATTGTCCTCAATATTAGGAAGTTTCTCCTTAATTCCACATTGTTTCCCTCCTTAATTAGTTTCCAACCATTGTTTCTTGTCCTGCCTTCAGATGCTCTGGAAAATAAGTTGAACCTCCTCTCCTTTGTGGCAGCCTCTCAAATACTGAAATACTGCTATCATGTCACCCCAATCCTTCTTTTCTCTAATTTTTTCTTTACACTTTAGAGAAAAGTCTAAAGAAAAATTATTTTTGCCCCCATATTTAGAATACCTTATGATAGTTATTACTACCTGCTGGGGTGAATTGCAAACAGTCCCAGAAATATCTACAACCTGACTTTTGTTCATAGATAAACACATATAAACCTTCACAGAGCAGTGAATCATCCTCATTTAATTAACACTTTTTGACAGCCTTTTGAAAGAATATCTCATAGCATTAAAAAGAAAAAGAGATTTGTCTTTATTGTTTGTTTTTGTTAGAAATAAAGGATAAAGATTCATACCCATCTTTAGATTTGAACTCTCTGTGGGTGAGAAATCTTTGTTCCCTGAATATCTACATTTATCTTTTTGTGTCTTCAGAAATAAATAGTTTCCATGTTGTCCTCCAGCTGCTTCTCCAAGACAATATGCTCTTCTGCCTTTTGGGCAGTATGTGTGCCCAAGAAAAATCACTTGATGTAAATTGTTAATTGCCAATTCCTTTTTTTCTGAAAAAATAGCCATGGAATGACAACAGTGATCAGGGAACAGTTTAAGGACATACAAGCTTTGAGCAAATTTCCCCAAAAATGTTTTTAAAATGAAACATCCTGGTTTTTCATGTTTTGCTTCTACGTTAGCAAGTAAAAAACGAGTCGAAGCTTCTGCCTGACTTAATCTGTCTATTTTTAGGAAATTAAACAAAAATTGGGGCACAACACAAATTGTCCTTGCTAAATCATCTCACTTTTCCCTTTATCCCAGCCCTACGGATGAAATGATAAGCAGTCCGGTGTTACATAAATGTTGTGGAAATTTGCTCATGGATTGTTATGCAAGCGATATCTGCCAGTTTGCATCTGGCAGTGTCTGCTGTGTTTTCTGGACTACAGTTTCTCAAAGAGAAATGCAAAGTTTCCAGAATGTTTGTGAACCTGAAGCCTTCAGCATGGAAAGTTCCACGCTTTATTTCCTTCTAAGATAAGAAAGGAAATCAAAAAGAGCCTTGGTACTACAGTGGTTTAAAGCACCCTGTTATTAACACAGCTGCCTGCAATTTACTGCTGGTTCGAATCTCTCCAAGGCTCAAGGTTGACTCAGCCTTCCATCCTTTCTAAGGTAGGTGAAATGAGGACCCAGTTTGTGGGGGCAATAAGCTGACTTTGTATAAATATACAAAAAGTATGAAGGCTATTGCTTAACACACTGTAAGCCGCCCTGAGTCTCCGGAGAAGGGCGGCATATAAATCAAATAAAAAAAAAAAAATCGGTTTATCACCCCACTAAGGCCATATACAAGTAGTTTTTAGGTTTTAACCCCTTAATGCAGTGGTGGGATTCGAATAATTTAACAACCGGTTCCCTGCCCTAATGACTGGCTGGGTGGGAGTGGCCATGTTGGGTGTGGCCAGGAGGTGTGACAGGCAACACTTGGCCTCCTGCACCCCCCAGGGAGCAAAAACAGGCCGGGGGGGTATGCGGCCCCCCTACGCCCCGTTTTGGACCTAATAGGCCTCTCTGAAGCCTCCTGGGAGCAAAAATGGGCTGCAGGGGGGGGCACCCTCCCACACACCTGTTTTGGGCCTAGTAGGCCTCCCTGCATTTACCTGGGAGCCAAAACAGGGTGTGTGGGGACTCCTGGAAGGGGAGGGGAGGGGCCAGCCAGCAATTTAACTACCAGTTTGCCTGAACCGGCTGAATCCCACCATTGTCCTAATGGAATGGGAATTTCTGAACTGAACAGCAGGTGTCCGTGAGTCGAAAGCTGCTGAACCTTCATGATGCTTTGCAGGAAGAAGTGAGCAGAAGACATGCAAGCCTTATCAGTATTGGGCTTCCCTCCACTTCTCACTAAAGCTCTTTGAAACTATATTGTACATAATAGATCTGGAAGGGACCTTGGAGATCTTCTAGTCTAGCCCCCTGCTCCAGCAGGAGATCCTTTCAGACAAGTGATTCTCCAGGCTCTTCTTAAAAGCCTTCAGTGATGAAGCCCACAGGTTGGTTTTCCAGGAGCCTTTCCAACATGAGCTGCCGAGTATGTCCTGCACTTTTAGGAAGCCCTTGTGCATCCGCTTCCTCCAGTTCCGCCATCACCCTGAACATCACTTCCTGTACCACCACCACCACCTGTAAGGCCCTGCCTCGCCAGTCTTCTCAAGAAAGCAGAACTCTTGAAACGAAATCCATTTCAAAAGAAAACTTTTATTAGAAGATTCTGACAGCAAGAGATCTAGGCAGGAAGTAACTTTTCCCACTTGAAACGTTAGATTAAACCATTGCAGACAGAGTCCCTTCCAAAGTCCAATACATCAATACATCATCGAGCCAATCCCAGTGAGTGAAGATGTTATGAGAAACTCAGGCCGGCATGGTGATAGACGCCGGTCTCCAGGGCAACGCTGCTGCTCTTCTCCAGAGGCGAGATCAGGCAGCTGCTCAACGTCCTGAAAGTTACAGTAAAGCAATGCAAGAAATAGAAACAGAAACCCCATACAGAGACCTCTAAGCCCCCCCGTCCCACCAGAATGACAGTGTTCCGATAGGAATCTATGGGACCTGACACCACGTTTGCCAAGGTAGCCTCCATTCCTGCTTCAACTATCATCAGAATGCACTGTGCCTTGTCAGTCCATTCCCTTCTCCGTGGTCTGTAGACTGTCCTTGCACCAACAGGAGAAAACAGGACTTCTCTACCTGTTTATTGACCACCCATCTTACCATAGGGTAACTATGGACGGCTTACAGTTAGATATACAGTTAAAGCATAAAAAGACATTACAGATTTACAGATTAACAGAATTGGAAGGGACTTTGTAGGTCATCTAGTCCAACCCCCCACCCAAGCAGGAGACCCTAACCATTTTTGACAAATGGCAGTCCAGTCTCTTCTTGAAAGCCTCCAGTGATGAAACTCCCACAACTTCCGAAGGCAACTTCTGTTCCATTGGTTGATTGTTCTCATTGTCAGAAAATTTCTCCTTATTTCTAGGTTGAATCTCTCCTTGATCAGTTTCCATCCATTATTCCATTGTCTGGCCTTCAGGTGCCTTGGAAAATAGCTTGACCCCTTCCTCTCCATGGCAGCCCCTCAAATATTGGAACACACTGCTATCATGTCTCCCCTGATCCTTCTCTTCACTAGACTAGCCATGCCCAGTTCCTGCAACTGTTCTTCTTATGTTTTAGCCTCCAGTCCCCTAATCATCTTGATTGCTCTTCTCTGCACTCTTTCCAGAGTCTCAACATCTTTTTTATAGTTTGGTGACCAAAACTGGATGCAGTACTCTAGGTGTGGTCTTACTAGGGCTTTATAGAGTGGTATTAGTACCTCACTTGATCTTGGTTGTATCCCTCTGTTAATGCAGTTTAGGATTGCATTGGCTGTTTTGGCTGCCAACACACATTGTTGACTCACATTTAGCTGGTTGTCCACTAAGACTCCAAGATCCCTCTCACAGTTAAAACCACATTAAAACTAATGATAAATGAAGGCTGGTCATGAAGCATCCAGATTTTTATCATGTGACCATGGGAACACTGCAGGGGTCCAAATTTCAAGAATTGGTTGCAGCTACTCTTTGTTCAGCCCTGTCGTAATTTTGAAAGATCCCTGAATAAATGGTTCTAACCTGAGGACTACCTGTACAGTAAAATATCTAATGGCAGAACTGATACATAAAACAGAAATACAATGAGCAAAATGAGATCTAAAAATAAATGGGAACATAAGTCATAAAATAAAAATAGTCTTATTAAAAGCGACAAATAACTAAGTGCCCGAACTTAATTGATAGTGCGAAGGATTGTACAGATGGTAGCACAAAACTGGACAACTTGGGAGGATATTTTTGAGTTCGGATCTGAAAGAAGTAGAATAACAATAAGTAGAAATCACACCCCATGTTGGGAAACTTCTTCAAGACTGGATAAATGAATATTTCTCTAGAATCCCTATGTAGAGAGCAGAATATTAGAGTTAGATAAAAGAAGAGCTATGGTGGAGCAGTGGTTAGAATGCAGAATTGCAGGCTAACTCTGCCCATTGTCAGGAGTTCGGTTCTGATCAGCTCAAGGTTGACTCAGCCTTCTATCCTTCCAAGGTCAGTAAAACGAGCACCCAGATTGGTAGGGGCAATATGCTGACTCTGTAAACAGCTTCTAGATTAACAGAGTTGGAGCGGACCTTGTAGGTCATCTAATCCAATCCCCCACCCAAGCAGGAGACCCTACACCAGTGGTGAAATGCAAACAATTTTGCTACCGGTTCTGAGGGCGTGGCTTGGTGGGCGTGGCTTGGTGGGAGAGTCATGTGACTGGGTGGGCATGGGCAACTTTTTTTTTTTTTACTTTTTAAAACATTTTTTACTACCTATTCGCCCAAAATGGTAGTAAAAAAATTCTTTTAAAAAGTTAAAAAAGGGTTCCGACAATCGTGCGTCACAGCTGTGATTGCCCAAACCGGAGCGAACCAGTAGCATTTTACCCCTGCCATACACCATTTCTGACAGACGGCAGCCCGGTCTCTTCTTGAAAGCTTCCAGGGATGAAGCTCCCACAACTTCTGAAGGCAACTTCTGTTCTATTGTTTGATTGCTCTCACTGTCAGAAAATTTCTCATTATTGATGGCTGCAATGCACTGTGAAGTGGTATATACTGTAAGTCTTAAGTGCTAGTTGATTGTAGAGCAAGAACCTTTATTGGTGACCAGCACAGAAGGTTTGTACTTTCTGGTGAAGGATAATGTTCTATGCCCAAATCTGCCAGCTGATTAAAATACTTGTACAAATACGTCCATGGTTCAATCAAAGTCAGGTCATTCGTCTCTAATTCACAAAGCACTAAAACAGCCTCTTTTTAATGGTTGTGGAAGGAATTGGTGAACTTAAACTAAGTTTAGCTTGGGTTTTGGAACTAACTTTGAAGAGGCAACGCTTTGTCAAGGAGAAAAGGAATGGAATATAAATAAATAAAGGATTCCTCTGAGATGAAAGGCAATAAGAATTCATTTGATCATTTCTGTAATCTGTGCTGTTTCAGTTTGACTTTGTAAAACTAATGGATGGAAAACAGCTAATTAAACAGGAACCAAGACATTTTGAAGAATCTCACCAGGGGCCCAGAAATCTAATTTTAATGTCCATGCAAGAAACTGGTTTCATAGAATATATGGACCAAGGAGCGTGGCACATGGCATTTTACAACGATGGCAAGAAAGTGGAGCAAGTGCTTATGCTGACCACAGCAATTGGTAAGAGGTCTTATATTGTTTTTTCTCATAGATTTGATGGAGACAGTAGGGTCTCAGCACATCCGTGTTAGAAAGCATGAAACAAAGTCTTAGTCCCACAAAACCTCTTTTATTTATACGATTGTAAATTACTTTCATTTACAGTCTGCAAGGCTTGATAAACAGTCTATTAGGGGAGTGTTTACGAACACCCACCTTATCTCCCTTGGAATGCTGCCAGAGAACTAATTGACACACGCAGGACAAGGCCAAACTTAGCACAGAGTCAAACAGAACTTTCCCAGAGCTTTAGCAACCAGATGAACTAATTGCTTCCTGCAAAAGCTCACGTCCCTTTCGCTTCTCTTTTATGAGTTATGGGAGGGGCCAATCATCTCCAAGCCTTACTCCCAAGTCGACCCTGTTTTCTTAATTATTCCTACCAGATGGCCTTGGCTCCCTCTCTGCCTTCAACTCAGAGCCCTCGTCCGAGCCTTCCCCAGTCTCCAGGACTAGCCCACGTTCCTCCCCAACCTCCTCATTGTCCGAATCTGCTGCCAGCTTTGCTGGCCGCTGGCGGGCCACAACAATGTGTGTGATCATTATTTCATCAGCTCCACATATTTGGGATTTATTAGGTTGGGAAAGGCACTGAATCAGTTTATATAAACAAGATTAGCATGAATAATTACAATTGGCAGGATTTATACTTTGACTAAACCAGATTGTTTTTAAAAAAACAAATTGAAATGACTTAGCATGATATATAAACTCAGTTACTTTTTCACAGAAGAAAGAGCCCACCTGCCACTCAGAATTTGATTTTCTTTCCAGATTAGTTGGGGACATGAAATTCTGAAATGCAATTATACAGTAGCATGGGAACATTCACATTTTTCTGGTGGTCTCAGTACTGTGGAGTTTAAGATTAATTTAAATAGGAATGCTTGGTTGCAAAGACAGCAGAATATGTTCAGATGAAATGTGAAGCTTCAATTCTCGATTATCTGCGCTTTCCATGAACAAGGATGCTTAAAATTTCAGCTGTATCTGAGAATCATGGACGGTGGCTCCCAAGCCAAGCAGAATTCATTATCCAAGAAATCCTGGTTTATGATTCTGGCTTGTAAAAGACCCCAATAATGTTGCATGCTCTACCTGAACCACTGTAGTGAACCAAGCTGGCTTCCCAAACATCTGGAGATTTGCAACTGTAGTCATTGTAGTGATATCATTAGAAAGTGCATGGATGGGTTTCGTTGGCTTTTTGGAAAGGTGGGAGTGCTCAGTGAGGTAGATACTAGATCTTTGAAAGGCAAATTTCCAATCTTAACCTCTGAAATTAATCTGAAATTCATTGGACTAATTCAGGGTATCAAACTCAAGGCCTGCGGGTCTTTTTGAACAAAGAAAATAAGAAAATCAAAATGTGACATGGGCGATACGCACACCAGGCACTTATGCCTGTCCCTTTAGGGACCTCTTAAATATGGAGTGAGGACCGAAGTTAGGTTAGAATTAGAACTGCAAAAGTTAATGGCTGAGACAACCAAGCCATTATATGCAGGGGTGGGCTTCGAAAATTTTAGCAAGGGGCTCTCTTCCTGGTTGCTGGGTGGGCGTGGCCATGGTGGGCGTGGCCTAGTCAGCCTCCTGCACCACAGTGGGAGGGGCATTTTTGCCCTCCCTGGGCTCTGGAGGCTTTTTTTGAACCTCCAGGAGGGCAAACATGACCTCCCCAGATTCCGGAGGCCCTCTGGAGGCCAAAAATGGGCCCATTTCCGGCCTTCCCGAACTTCCGGTAGGCCCGTTTTTCACCATCCCCGAGCCTCCTTCTGCACCTTGCACTTACCTGCATCCAAAATGGGCTGTGTGGGGACTCCTGGGAGGGGACGGGTGGGCGGGGCCAGCCAGAAGTTGGATTTAGGGGTTCTCTGAACTGCACAGAATCTTAGCTAGAGGTTCTCACGAACCCCCAGCAGCCCATCCCTGATTATACGTTGAGACAATATATTTATCCATTGTTGGAGAGATACCTTAATTCAGCATTCCCCAACATTTCTGGGTTGGTCAGAGAGGGAAGAGGGGATGCTTTTGTGTGAGGGGCAGGTGCCCGCTGCTTGAGTGAATTGGGCTGGGTGCTCCCGCCACTCATGCGGCGTAGTTGCGAATAGGCCCGGCCTGGTAGTGGATCACAGCCCGCAGGTGCGCATGCATGCATGTGAACAGCTTCATTTGTGTGAGTGGAGCTACGAGTATGTGTCCCCCCCGCTCACACAAGTGAAATTGTGAGCTTATGTGCCCGCCACTCTCCCATGCACCTGCCTCTCGCACAAGTGAGCTCTGGTGGTTCTGCAGACTAAAGCACTGTTATTAACATCCACTTACATCTGCTGCCTGCAATTACTGTAAGTTCAAATCTCACCAGGCTCAAGGTTGACTCAGCCTTCCATCCTTTCTAAGGTAGGTAAAATGAGGACCCAGATTATGGGGGCAATAAGCTGACTTTGTATAAATATACAAAAATATGAAGGCTATTGCTTAACGCATTGTAAGCCGCCCTGAGTCTCCGGAGAAGGGCAGCATATAAATCAATTTTTTTTTTTAAAAAAAGTGGGGCACCCACCATTCCTGCAGCCTAGTTGCGAACAGCCCACTGTTTAGTAGTGGGCTCCAGCCCACAGGTTGGGGGATCCCTGCCTTAATTTACAATGGTCCAGAGTACTAGGAATGGGATTAGTCGTTGCCATCGCCTGCCAAATGATTGTATGGTGTGCTATGCCTTGTTTGGGAAGGTAGCTTTCACACCCAGTATGCATTTCTTGTTTGTTTTTGTTTTGTTTTGTTTTGGTCTTTCTGTGAACAGAAGTCATGGATGACTGTTCTACTAACTGCAATGGGAACGGAGAATGCATTTCTGGCCACTGCCACTGTTTCCCAGGATTCCTCGGTCCTGATTGTGCACGAGGTACGGCTCTGAAACTGAACACACTCACCCAAATACACAAACATTCCTACATGTCTCTGGAGATGATCCATCATCCCTGGATAGGAATAGAATTACCTCCGAATATAAGATTTATATCTATTAAGAATTAGAATAGAGGTAGAAACTAGAAAGGGGTAAAATATTATTATGCATAATATTTTAAAATTAATATGCAGATGTAAAGATTAGAAGTTGGAAGATGATTTTATTATGTATACTTAAATAATATTACTATGGTTATTAGTATTGTGTTATTAACATTTTGTTATTAACATATTGAATAATTAAATGATGAAGGATTATATACATGGTGAAGCAAATACTAACATGTTAATAACTTTAATTTTAATATCTATAATATTATTATAATTATGTGAGTACTCTGTTTCCCCAAAAATGAGACATCCCCGGATAATAAGCCCAATCGGGCTTTTGAGCGCATGCGCTAAAATAAGCCCTCCCCAAAAATATTTAAATGCATGTGCAGCCAGTCCCCACCATTTCCTCTGGTTAGGGTTAGGGAGACAGAGCTGGAAATCAGGTAAGATGGCACGAGGAGCCCCGTCTTGCACCATGCGCCCAAAAATAATAAGACCTCCTCGAAAATAAGGCCAACTGCTTATTTCGGGGTTCAAAAAAATATAAGACAGGGTCTTATTTTCAGGGAAACATGATATGATTAATGTAACTATCAATATTATTTTGTGTCAAAACTAGCAATACCCAGATACCACACTGTTCATGTATTCAATACTTACGTATATTTATATATCATATATGTGTGTGTGTGTGTGTGTGTTTTCTGAGGTTTTTGCAGCTGTTTGTATGTAGGTCTTTGGTTATTCAGGTTTTCTCCCGTGTAAAATTGGAAGTGTCTTGGCGATGTTTCGACAAAGTCTCATTCGTCATTTTCAGGCTGGTGTCTTCGGCTTCGTGCTTCTAGGGGCAATTGCAGTTCCTCCTAGAAGCACGAAGCCGAAGACACCAGCCTGAAGATGACGAATGAGACTTCGTCAAAACGTCGCCTAAAAAGGAGATGTGATGGTTTATTTTTTTTTCCTTTGAAAATGTTTCGCTTCTCTGTGAACGTTAGAACTGCAGAAGCTTCTTGGAGGAGGACATGATCTGAGGCAGATGATTAACGCCGAGTTGCATCTTCCTTCCACAGATTCCTGCCCAGTTTTATGCAGCGGAAACGGGGAATACGAACAGGGTCACTGTGTTTGTCGCAATGGGTGGAAGGGAGCAGAATGTGATGTCCCAGAGGAGCAGTGCATCGACCCCACCTGCTTTGGTCATGGCACATGTATCATGGGAATCTGCATTTGCGTCCCAGGTTATAAAGGAGAGATATGTGAAGAAGGTTGGTCTCTTTTTTGTTCTTGGAACAAAAACTACTTATAAAAGTGTGAAAAGGATCAGTACTTAAAAAGCCATCGCACTGAGGGCCAAAAGGGGTGTGCAAAAGGCTTTCTCATGGGATGTTCTATAGCGGGGGTGTCACTTGATTTCATTGAGGGCCACATCAGGGTTGTGTTTGACCTCGGGGGGGCCAGGGGGGGCGTGGCCAGATTGGGTGTGGCCAGCTCAACATCACTCATGTCGAGGGCATCTGTGGTGGCCTGAGCTCTCTACCAGTGAAAATAGAGCTTGCAAGGGCCACCTGCGGCCTTCCCATGCTCCGTTTTCACTGGCAGAGGCACCGCGGGCCAGTCCTTCACCAGGGCGGCCCCTCAGGCCAGATCTAAGCCCCCCCCTCGGTTGAATCTGGCCCTTGGGTCTTGAATTCTACAGATAGTCCTTGACCTAAGACCACAATTGAGCCCAAAATTTATGTTGCTAAGCGAGAATTTGTTAAGTGAGTCTTGCCCCATTTAGTGACCTTTCCTGCCTCAGTGGTTAAGTGAATCACTGCACTTATTAAGTTAGTAACACTGTTCAGTGAATCTGGCTTCCCCATTGATTTTGCTTATCAGAAAGTCACAAAAAGTAATCACATGACCCCGGGACACTGCAACCATCGTAATTACGTGCAAGTTGTCAAGTATCCAAATTTTGATCACATGACCACGGGAATGCTACAATGGTCGTAAGTGTGAAAAATGGTCATAAGTCACTTTTTGCAGTGCCGTTGTAACTTTGGATGGCCACCAAATAAACTGTTGTAAGTCAAGGATTGCTTGTACCTCCCAAACGTGCTATTCTGAATGTGGAATGATTCTTGCTGGAAACTTCTGCCCGCTGATAAAATCCAACATCCTGTTCAATCGTGACTTTTACTGCCTTCCTTTTTTTCTTGTTCTTAAAGGAAAGAAAGTTAAACATTCACTCCACTTACATAGGATACAAAAAACGTTTGAAAAATGAATTAGCAGATAAAAATAAAAGCAATATTTGTTTATTTAATTTAATTTATATATTAAATTTATTTGCTGTCCATCTCACCATGAGATGAATATAGCTAATATGGAGCCATTACTTATTTGGAATTAAACATGTTAATTCCAAAACTGTATGAGTGTTAAAATTCCTCTTGGTATGGTTTCCAGCAACGGAGAAAGTAATTTTCTAGCTGAAGAATTACCGTGTTTCTACTGATAGCAAAAACTTTACACAGATTAATCTGTTGGGTAAAAGACATCAGCAATCTTAGAAGCTGTTGTAATTCCTTCAGATCCACCCAACTGGGTGGGGTTGGTGAGAGTTAATGCTATGAAAGTTCTGACTGAATGTCTGGACCCTACTAAACACTGAAGAATAGAGTAGAGTAAAGTAGAGTAGAGTAGAGTAGAGTAGAGTAGAGTAGAGTAGAGTAGAGTAGAATAGAATAGAATAGAATTTATTGTCACTTTGAATGTACACTAATCAGCATACTTTAAAATGAAATTTTGTTGCATACAGCTGTCAAAGAGTCACCAACTCCAATATACACTACATAAACATGACTAAATAAATAAATATAAAATTATATATATACAGAAGGTCTGGACCCTGCTAAACCTTCCTTTGTCCCTTAATTGTAACGTAGTTTGCTTTACAGTTTGACAATCTGAAGCTTCAAAGGAAGGGTGTGTTTGCCTTCAATCTTATCCTTGAAAACGTAAGAATATTTTTACTTGATTTCTGTTGGCTATTTCATGTCCTTGCTTCCCTATTTTATCTTCCAGAGGACTGCTTAGACCCTATGTGTTCTGGTCACGGAGTCTGTGTCCAGGGAGAATGCCACTGTTCCATGGGCTGGGGTGGAGTCAACTGTGAAACATCACTTCCCATCTGTCAAGAACAATGTTCCGGCCATGGCACGTTTGTCCTGGAGACAGGACTCTGTAGTTGTGACCCAAAATGGACAGGCTCTGACTGCTCATCCGGTAAGGTTTCTTGGCTCTGATCCATCTCAAATGCATTAAACAGTTTACTTTTGGATAAAGGAGAGTAAAAAGGTAAAGGTTCCCCTCGCACATATGTCTTAGTCGTTCCTGACTCTAGGGGACGGTGCTCATCTCCATTTCAAAGCCAAAGGGCCAGCGCTGTCCGAAGACGTCTCCGTGGTCATGTGGCCGGCATGACTAAATGCCAAAGGCTCACGGAACGCTGTTACCTTCCCACCAAAGGTGTTCCCTATTTTTCTACTTGCATTTTTTACCTGCTTTCGAACTGCTAGGTTGGCAGAAGCTGGGACAAGTAATAAGAGCTCACCCCGTTACATAGCACTAGGGATTCGAACCGCTGAGCTGCCGACCTTTCGATCGACAAGCTCAGCAACTTAGCCACTGAGCCACCACGTTCCTCTAAAAGTAGAGTATTTTCCTCCAGATATGTGTGTTGCTAAGGGGGTCAACTTTCAGGGAAAGTTTAATAGTCTGATTCTGGATATAAAAAATAAAAGGAACTGCAAAAGAAATTTACTTTCTCATCTGCACTAGCAAAATTTCTCTGACTCTCTCAAAGTTCCTGAGATTGAAGATTTCCTTGGAATCCAGGTGGTTCCCACTTGGATGGTGTTTCAGAGGACCTTAAAAACCTGACTCTTCTCCCAAACGATGAGATAGAGTGATTGTAGGCCCTGTTTGGTGTATATGTGAGTGAGGGGTCCTTAATGTTCTCTGATAGCTGATGTGTAGTACTAGCCCTGATGATGTTACCTAGTTGGGTAATGAAACATCTGCAAGAAAACAAGCAAGCTCAGAGAGCACCAAGGACCCCTCATTTCAACCCTGAGCTATAAATATTCTCTGTCATTGGTATATGTTTTACTCTTTTTTTATATATAAAGTTTTTTTGTTTTTGATATATGTTTTACTCATTGATTTGGATCTGCTACCTGTTTATTTGTCATATTTTTAATGTTGCCTTGTAGACCATGGCGGCTTGAGTGGTTGGGAGGCTGGGCAGGCGATTAGCAAGCCCATGTTTGAGACCCAAGCATTGCCTTGGGGTGGGGTTGAGCTCTTGTCCTTCACTCCAGCTGGGGACATGAAAGGAAACCCTAACTGAGAGTTCCCAGGGCAACAGTGATGTCAGTGGCTAATCCTTTCACAGAATAATAGTGCAAAATATTTTGCTTTGTATTGTGAGCTATCTAGCATCCAGCTTGATTCAGGAGTTTAATTTAATTTAATTATTTCAATTTATATGCCGCCTTTCTCCGAAGACTAGGGCGCCTTACAACACATTTAAAAACCATTATAAAAACATTTAAAAATTAAAACATTAAAACCCATTCACACCATTCATGGCCAGATCTCACTTGATTGCAAGAGCGAGATCAGTGGCCCCAGGCCTGCCGGACAAGCCAGGTCTTCACCGCTTTTCAGAAGGCCAATAGGGTGGGGATGGTCCGGACCTCAGGAGGTAACTGGTTCCAGAGAGCTGGGGCAGCCACAGAGAAGGTCCTCCCCTGCGGGCGCGCCAGCCGGCATTGTTTAGCTGACGGGACCCGGAGGAGATCAACTCTGAGTTGGGTAGCACCTACTCTGAATGAATGAATGTTAAAATATAAAATTTTGTCTGGGTGTAAATATAGCTTCAGTTTCAGTTGGCTCATTTTCACTGAGGCGGGAAATAAAAGAAGTAAGAAGAAGACAATCATATGAAGTCAGAATCTTTCATTTCCCTGGGCAATTAAGCACATGTACAAGATTGATAATCGGTATTGTTCTCTAAAAATTATTGATATAAAAGCACATACGTACAACCGTACATTCTATATCTACTGCAGTTAATGACATTGTAGATAACAAAAATGCAGATAGCATGGCAACCTAAAAGGGAATTGTTGGATGACACAGTTTTCCATCTCACTACAATAATGCATAAATTAACCAGCAGTGACTAATGTTATGAATTTAATTTATATAAAAATGTACTTTAGCAAATGTTTTGGTGGAGAGAGATCCTTATGTATGGATTATAAAATATTTAGCGTTAATTTTACTTTTCATATATTGCACAAGTCAGAAGTTATTAAGGGAAGAAATACCTTAGAGAACTGTGTTGGTTTAAGTAATTAAAATGAAGGATCCAAAGTGAATTCTTAATGCTTCTTAAATTAATGTAGGTTCAGTTGTCTCCTTTTGAGAAAAGGAGCAGAACAAACCAAGCAAGAACTCTTCAGAATCAATATTTATCACGGTGATAAAAATTAATCAGCTTCCAGAATTCAAATATATACGTGAAATCATAATGGAACGGCAGTAGAACATTCTGTTTTTGTACTTTCATGTCTGAACTTAAGTTAACTTTGAGAAGACTTTTTTTTCTTTCTCTCTTGGAAAAGAAAAATATATCTATGATGGCTCCATGCAGTGGAATAAATACCTCTTGAGGACATACAGCTAATCCTCGATTTAGTACCACAACAGAGCCCAAAATTTATATTGTTAACTGAGACATATTACGACCTTTCTTGCCTCGGTTGTTAAGTGAATCATTGTAGTTCATAAGTTAGTAACCCGGTTATTAAGTGAATCTGGCTTCCCCATTGACTTGCCTTGTTAGAAGGTCAAAAAAGTGGATCACACAACCTTTGGACACAGAAACGGTCATAAGTATGAACCAGTTGCCAAGCATCTGAATTTTGATCATGGGGTTGCTGCAAAGGTCGTAACTATGAAAAACCATCAAAAGTCACTTTTTTTCAGTGGCGCTGTAACTTTGGACGATCACTAAATGAACTGCTGTAAGTTGAGGACTACCTGTTAACAGTCTCATAGTGTGAAAGGGGAAGAGCAGCAACAGAAGAGATTTTATGTGTTTATTGGTTCTTATTTATGTATTTATTAGATTTATTTGCCGCACATCTCGCCACGAGGCTTACAAGGTTAAAAGCAATAAAATAGATAGATAGATAGATAGATAGATAGATAGATAGATAGATAGATAGATAGATAGACAGACAGACAGACAGACAGACAGACAGACAGACGAGAGTGAGAGATGGATGGAGGGTTGGAGGGGTAGATAAAAAAATAGGTGATGAAAGAGAGAAATATGGTTGGATGGATGGATGATAGGTAGATAGACGATTAGATAGATAGATAGATAGATAGATAGATAGATAGATAGATAGATAATAGATGAGAGTGAGAGATGGATGGAGGGTTGGAGGGGTAGATAGAAAAATAGATGATGAGAGAGAGAAATATGGTTGGATGGATGGATGGTTGGATGGATGATAGGTAGATAGAAGATTAGATAGATAGATAGATAGATAAGATAGATAGATAGATAGATAGATGAGAGTGAGAGATGGATGGAGGGAGGGGGTAGATAAAAAAATAGATGATGAGAGAGAGAAATATGGTTGGTTGGTTGGTTGGATGGGTGGGTGGGTGGATGGATGGATGGATGATAGGTAAATAGAAGATTAGATAGATAGATAAATAGATAGATGAGAGTGAGATGGATATGGAGGGATGGATGGATAGATAGAAAGATAAATAGATGATGAGAGAGAAATGGAGAGAGAGAGAGAAGAACCACAGCATGTCTGAGTCATGCAACTTACATTTTTTCCCTCAAAATTAGGTCTTGTTTTAAATTTACAAGATTTGGTCCATCATTCCCTCAACCATGCCAGGTTCCATGGCCAAGGAACTGTAGCCACCATGTCCCAGAGGTGTTTTTTTTTTCTTCAGGAGCCAACTGGACTTTCTGTTTTTTCCTTGAAGACATTTCGCTTCTCATCCAAGAAGCTTCTTCAGCTCTGACTGGATGGTGGGAAAGTCAGAGCTGAAGAAGCTTCTTGGATGAGAAGCAAAACCAGAAAGTCCAGTTCCCTTTTGGAAAAACAAAGAAAGCACTTTTGGGACAACCATGACCAGGATGACTGAGAATCTCCATAGACATGTAGCAACCATGGTGTGGTTACAGGTTACCTGAGGAACTATCTTCTCCCAATGGGATTGGCCCACCCCACCTGCTGTCAGCCAGACAATGTCGGCTGGCGACCCCCAGGAGGAGGGCCTTCTCTGTGGTGGCACCTACCCTTTGGAACAATCTACCCCCAGAGATACAAGTGATCTCCGACCTCCGGACTTTTCATCGGGCCCTTAAAACCTATTTCTTTCAGTTAGCCGGGCCGTCCTGAATTTTATGGTTGGTTTTTAAAATTTTGATACTGATTTTAATTGAAATGTTTTAAATTTTGGGCCAAACCTTATTTAATTATTTTAAACCTATTTTAACTTTTGTGTACAAATGTTTTATTTTGGCTGTTCGCCACCCTGAGTCCGAAAGGAGAAATTTGAAAAATAAATAAATAAATAAATAAACAACGGCCTGGAAAGGATGCTTTATGGCCTGTAAAGCACTGCCGGCCATTGTAAAATGTGCTGTGCCCCCTCCCTATGGTCACATGACCAGTTGTCAGGAGCTTGGCAGCCAGATCACATTTATAGCTGGTTATGGTATCTCAGATTCATATGAATGCGAGTCGTGATGGTTTTTTGCTGATTTTCAGCAAAAAATGCTCATTTGGGACAATAACATTGCATTTATGACTTCATGAAGTCATAAATTGTTCACTTAACAATCATGTGTTTCACTTAACGGCCACCGTAAAAATGGTTGTAAAATCAGGCCTGCTCACACGGGTGCCTTTTCCCTTATCTTTCTTTCAATGCATTCAAAATGAATTTCTGGATTAATGTTCACCAAATTCAGAAGTCAGGATAAAATATGTGCAAATGAAACCTTGGGGAGCAAAATGGTTATTCCTACCGGAAAGTTATTGAGGCAAATATTTCTCTCCCAACTTAGCTAACTATCGCATTTTAGTATTCAGGGCAGGATGGCTCTGGAACAAGTTTAGGAAAGATATGGGTGATGAAAAGTGGATTTGTTTCCTCAGAAGTCAGAAAAAAGATTG